GACTTCCAGTACAGTTGACGTAAGCAATCGCTGGAACCCAAGGAAACCACGCAAAAATTGAGTTCTAATGGCAGCTACTTGCTTTCTAGCTCACAACAAGCTTTTACGACCTTCCAAAAGACACAAGGTTTGGCGACACAGTTTCGCATCGCGCTCCCTGCTGAGGGGTTAATAGGACGAACCAGGTCTCATAATAGGGCCAGGATAAGGGAGAAAAATCCGAAAACCTAATCGATCAGAGCTAAAATCAACACGGAGTGAGGAGGGGTGAACGCATCTTACCCAATACCGCTCCACAAGCCTGTCTTCTTACTATATTCACAAGGTAGGATTCTACAGTGATCTGGGACGCTTCGATACTTGTCAGTCAAATAAAAATATGGCCAAACTAGAAATACGTGACAGCTGAGGTGATGAAAGCGCCTACTAGGGCAAAATGTTGAAAGTAAACCCGTAGATGGGCCTGCCTACCGGCCTAGCTGTGCCCATCGTATCACTTCTGCGACTGGCTAACGTCGCAACGGCTTCTAATTAAGTACACTTTCAAACTATTTCCCCAAAATGGGTATCCACCGGACATTGTTCGTCGATGGATAGGGCAATAAGAGTTCAAAGGAAAGGGTATCTTCAGAGCTGAGTCCAATAGAACGACAAATCCGACGAACGCTCTCATATGTAAAAATGTATCTGAGCTCGTCGAAGGACAGCTACGAAAGCACCAGATACAGATTACGCACAAGCCGGTAACTACTTTGTGCACCCAGTTTGTACACCCTAAGGACGGAGTTGGCCATTTCAACAGGAAGAAAGTCGCCTATAAAATGCCTTGTATCAGTTGTGACGCAGTCTATTGTGGTCAAACCGGAAGGACTCTATCCACCCGCATACAGGAACACCAATTGGCGGTGAGGAGATGGGACCATCTATTGGAGGTTGCCATGCACTTACTGGACACAGGACACGCATTTTCATGGGGGCAAACCCAAATCGTTGGCGCCTGCCCAACTGGGAAGGGCCGCGAATTCCTGGAGGTAATGCACTCAGACGAGACGTGCATCAACAGGCATACCGATTTAGATGTCAACTACAAACCTCTCAAGATCAGATGGAAGCAAAAACAGCCATCAACGACCGCGTGAGTAAATGCGAGCGACAGCTATTTCCCCCTCCCCCTGACCGCATAAGTACATGCCGATGACGGCTATTTTCCCCACTGACAGCATAATTAAATGCGGGTGACGATTATCTACCTACGTCCCCATCTGCGCATGACCACGACCATGTTATCATCACCTATGATTAAGGATT